ATCATCATAAAAACTCGGACCACTTTTCCTCTTCAATGCATAGAAAAGAATTGAATCCTATATAGATGATAAAAGAATCTAAAAAGAACAGCTGGACTTGAAGTTGTAGCAAGAACATATAATTGAACATTTCAACTCCAAAATTATCATGAGAGAAGAATCAGAATATATGCGTGTGTGCTATTTTCATGCGAATGTTTATACAATAATTTTATTAACAAAAGTTGGTCTAATTGGTAAAGAATTTGACTCATCTTATACTAATGTCTGTTTAAAATTCATTCTAAATGTGAGGATATCATAATTAGTGAATAACTTATATGTAGTTTAACCCTATATCTAGTATGAGAGAAATGAAAAGGGAGAGGGGAGAAATTTTTTAATGAGCTCAATTTAAATTGGGTTAAAAATTTTTATTAGTTTTTATTACTCTTTTATCTTACATCTTCTCTTTTATTACTCTTGTATCTTACATCTTCTTTTTTTTTTTTCAATTTTTAAATCGATATGAGACATGCTTGTCCTAGCCATGATCTCAATAAGAATTTGAATTCAAAACTCAACAACAACAGCAAGCCTTATCCACTAGGTGGGGTCGGCTACATGAATTACACAATGTCATTGTGTTTTGTCAACAACTCAATTTTTACATATGTTATTGACCAGAAGGTTTCGTTCAATGATCTCATTGAGCATTCTTCTCGGTCTTCCTCTGTCCTTTTTTATGAGATTTCATACTGTTTGATCTACTCTTCTCACCAAGTTCTCTAATAGCCTTCTTTGCACATGTTCAAAGCACTTTAGCGATGTTCAACCAACCATTTTTCTTAGATGCCACATCGACCCTTGCTCTGATATGTGTATATATATACACACATGCGCATACACACACATATAATATTGTATTTATCGTCCTCAACTAGTAAAGCTTTGGATGCTTGACCGAGCAACCAGTTTTAAGTAGTATTCTATTTCAATTTAACTCATATATTACTCATGCTCATCATATGACTGCAAGGGACATTGTCATATATATGTAAAAAGAGAGACCAAAACAATTAACTTGTTCTGTGTAGGAATATATCAGGATAATGTAACATACACACACATAAAGAATCAGTTAATTTGTAATGGAAATAAATTCTTTTGAAATAAATCCAGGTTATAAGGTAACTAGCGAAGTGGTGATAGTACAAGATATTGCAGAAAAGTGACATAAATCTGAAATGATGTGAAATTGGAATAGATTGAAAAGGACAAGAATGTTAGCTGGGAAGGAAGGAGTTTACAGAAATGTTATTGGTGTGTGTTATCCCGACCAATCTGAGTATGGTCAATAGCCCTCAGTCTATATGTATAAACTATGAATTAATATCAGCATCAAATTATTGCAGGACCACCATTTGGTTCCCTAATTATTGTCTCACCTCATTACACATCCCTTTAGTTAATTCCATTTTTAATCTCTTCCCACCACCTTCATCTTCTTCTAGAATCGCTACTTTCACACAGCACATACGGTGGATTAAAGCGACTTCTAACTTCAAACCATATTCAAAGCACCAAAATTAATTCTTCAAATCAAAGACATATATAATGAGACAGCTTTATACATCCATATTGTAGTGAGCTGCTAAAGCTGTCTATATTGCATATACAGAAACTATCAAACTAATAGTAAGGTGATAAATTTGATGGCAAGTTGGCTTTAATGGACATGACCATGCATAATTGTAGTGATGATAGTGATTAGTTGTAAGAGGAAGGTGTAACTGTCGTTGCTGATGTAGCTAATAGATCTTGACTGCATTATATATATATATATATATATATATATATATATATATATAATTTAGCTGTATATGAATACAATTACCGATGATGATGGTTGGGTCAACTGGAAGAGGCTCAATTCCCAACCGTAAACAAATAAAGGCAAAGGTTCAAATCCTGTGAATGGAAAGAATCGCGTTAAAATACTATGGACCTCAATTAGACCTGACAATGATTGAATATGATTCAGTAGCATTAGATATTAGATAGTCATACATATATAAACATAGTGGTTGTGGTAAATATATTGAAGGTGGGACTGGCCAAAAGCATGAAGACTAATAAGACAACCACTATAATGGTCTCAACTACTGTTAGGTCAATATATATGTGTGTATATGTACATATGTTTACATAGAATGGAATCAAAAGATGCTGAAAGTTCATCACATATATATGCCTAGAAATTGAAAAGAAAGAAAGAAACGTAGCATCTTAAACTCCTACAGTAAATTACTTGGAACAATAAGTCAGCGATTGGGTTGTTTTTGTTGGCCATTCTTAATAGAATTGAACTCTTTAAGGAACCCTTTTTCTGAAGGGTTAGGAATATTGGTTGTGGAAAAAAGAAAAACTCATGTGGGTGGGTGGATATAGAAGTTACATGATCCTCAACTATCAACTAATACATAAATAAGACCTTAAAAGTTAAGGACACTTGCCCTACAAAAGGGCATACTAGAATACATAGAAACAAATTATTATTTTGGTCCAGGTCACACGTGACACCACTGGTACACCAGATGATCATAACCCCTTCCTTCAGCTTTTGTATTGTGCAGCAACACACTGTGCACATGCTCATGAATAGTGAATCATCTGGACCATTTCCTACATGTATATATTTACTGCTTTTAATATACGTGGTCCAAGTAATTTATTGTGTATAACCGTATGATTTGGGTATTATTCTCTCCACTATATATATGCACATATATTTTCTGCAGGACCATCTGACTTTAATTTTAGATGAAGAAATGCATCACCCTTGAAGGTGACTTCATTCTAATCATTAGATTCTTATTACTTTCCTAACTATTCCGTGGAGGACTGGGATATGTAACTCATGATCTCTCAATTCATTGTATGCGTACGTTTTTGTGTATATGTACACAAATATAGAAACAAACCTGTTTATAGGTGGAATCTTAAAGATATAGTTATACCTATAGATCTATATAGCTAGCTAGCTGATTCCTTTTACTGTTTTTTTCTTCTACACTACTCAAAATCAATGGTTTACCGGTCACCATTATAGTTCACTCAACAATGAGAAGATGCTTCATAGATAAACAAGATTAGTGGCTCTGAATTAAATGGTAGCGTCCAGTTGTTCGTGGATGTGACAAACATCATGGCTTCATTATCAGCTGTCCCTACTCTAACTAGGAGGCATTTTTAATCAGCCGCTAGAGCTGGGTTAGTCGTAAGTATGGGATTGCATGCAGAAAAAGTATATATAGATCAAAAGATATAAAAAGGAAGAAGCAGATTTGGAGAGTGTGGTGGCTTTATTTTTGTCCGATGAAAAGTGCAAGGCATGCAGGGGAATGAAGATGACGAGTCATGAGAAGCATTATTCATCGATCAGTGTGGAAAGGAAGAGAGAGAAAGAGTGAGTGATATATAAGAAAGGAATTCTTTAGATGGCTACTTGTCATCTTTCTGGACTTAAATGGACCACCACTTTTAACTAACTTAATTAAACATTACTTAATTTAATTACCTCATTTCTTTCCTTCTTCCACGCATTTTAAGAAATAAAGATACCCCATTAACAATGGGATTGATCAAGTATATATATTATACCTTTCATTAAGCCTTGTAGGATCTTGTGGAAGTGACAGTTGATTCTGCAACTCTTGAATAGAATCAATTTGTTTCCTAATTTGGGGAATCATATCCACCCCTAGTACTGCCTCCAGGGGCAGGCTTCAATTCACACTTTCCTTAGTGCTTTACATAGTGGCATGCTTATATCCACCCCATCTTCTTGGATTTGCGTTTTAGCTCCATCACTGTCACTGGATATATCCTCCATTTTTCTGATTTCTGTGCACCAGGTGCTGATTCTTACTTTCCCACTTTCCAAACATAAATTTTCCCAATGGGCTTTGGAGAATTAGTGTTATCCTCAAGGACCACCATAACACAATGATACATACGACCCAACGAACCAGTCTTGGATTCACCATATCAGATATCTAATATTGTTATCAGTTATGCCAGTAAACTTCATGGGCCAGACTATAACTGAGTCCGACGAGTGAAGCCTAAATATCAATGGGCTTCATCTTGTCATTGTATATATTGGCCATGGGTTCTTCAATAGGTGGAAATTTCGTTTTTTTGGAGAACAAAAAGGTCATGGAAACTTTTCTATTTTTTTCTTTTACAAGTTAAAGAAACATAGCCTTTGAAATTAGGGAGTGGAAAGGGAGACACCCTTAGACAAACAAAATGAGGATCAGATTTACCGTGATGTTTGGTATGTGAAAAAATATTTTCTAGAAAGGAAATGAAAAACGCACCTAAAAGAAAATGGATAGGCGCATTTCTCATTTTCTTTCCAGAAAACACTTTTCCGCGTACCAAACATTGCATAAAGTAAAAGTTTCTCACTTGGATGTGCCGTTTTGATAGACAATAGTGGAAAACCTTGTGGTTGAGTTCATTATGACATTAGAAGCAGCGTTATCTTCACCTAAACTTTTTTTTTACCAGCATCTTCACCTAAACTTTCAACAAGGAATTAAATAAAAGCGAAGATTGATAATATTTGAAAATCAAGCCTTTAATGTATCAGCTTCTACCATAAAAACTGTTTAGTCGCACACCACTCACTAGTCCGTTCTTTTTGAGCTGTATAACGTGACTTCATTTCCAAAATATAAAGGATCTGAACTCCCCCTCCCAAAAGGTAAACAAATAAATAGACACCTTCCATTCCTGCAGGTTGAGCTAAAACTAGTTTCTGATCTTGAAAGAAATTTACATTTACAGTGTGATTGCAACTTCCTGAATGTATTCTGAATTTGCTTATCCAAGTGTATATGTGAAATGCATATACATATACATATCATTCATAATCACGTCCCTATATAATAAATATGTCAAAAGAATAGTCTCAGTGTTGATGAATGAATATCTGAAAGAAACAAAATAAATTTAAATTATTGAAACAGACCAAACAGTTCTAATAATGTAGGGTCAATAAACAAAGAGAATCAAGTAAGCAGGGAAAGAGGCTTATTGATTTGGAGGGGGCAATTTAGAAACAGAAGCAAAGAACTCAGAGTAGATCTGCATGAAGAAGTTATCCACAATTTCAAGATATGCAGGACAAGTGAGCCTTGAATAGTAATGAAGAACCTCTTCAATGTCCAACACATATTCCACATTCCCCATATCCAGCATCTCTAGCTCCCTCAGCCTCCTTTCCACCATTAAATTTCTCACTGGTGACTCTTCATGCCTCCCTTTTTGATGACTAATCATGTTCCTCTCATTGTCTCTTTTATCTATCTGCTTCATCTTCTTCTTCTGTACAGGACTTCGATGATAATACTCCTCCTTTTCCTGGCTCCTTCTCTCTGCCTTCTCTTTCTCTGAGGAATCCCATTGGTGAGTATTGAGCTTCTCCAATTCTGAATTACTTTGATGGGTGTCCATGAGGATGAGAGGACTAGGTGAAGAATAGGGAAAGTGATGGTGGGGAGATGTTTTTGGAAGCCTGTGGTATCCTGAAGAGAAGAAAGACTTGAAGTTGTTGAGGGTCCTTCTGAAGAACTTCTTGGTGTTGGAAATGGAGTTTCTTAGCAACATTGAGAATGACTGAATGAAACAATACTATTGTGAAGGATTGTGCTAGATGATCTGAGGGAAGATTTGATTATGCACAAGACAGAAAAGGAGCCATTGAAGCTTGTTTTAACATTTTCTGGGAAGGAAGAAGAATGGAAGAAACCCAATTGCATTTTGTTTTGTCATTTGGGTTCAATGAAAGACAAAGGGGACCCCACAAGGCCTCTCGAACTCCAACGTCCCAAACCCGGACTTCTGTCTCCCATTAAGCGTTTTAAAAATGAATAAATTTGCAAGCCTGGTTGATTTTACTTTAATGAAGGTGGGAGTCGGTGTGGTTGGTTGAATTGGACCTTTCTGAAGCATTGACGCACCATTTTCCTAATCAGTAGTCACATTGATGATTCATTTGCATAGCTTCGCAGTGCTAAGTCTACATATACAGCAGTACAGCACAGACAAATTTAAGTATAATTACCATTTATTGTCATATTATTTAAGGTAGGGAGTCATTTTTGCCCTGAAAGTATGCGTGAAGAGGTTGTAGATATTCAAAAAAAAAATTTGCCTCAATATTACCCTAGAAATGTTAAAAAAAAGAGTGTAATATCACCTTTTTTTTCTGCTACTTATTTTTAACAAAAAGTATAACATTGCTCAGCTTTTAACACTTCCAGACGACGTTAAGCTTAAAAAACTTCTGTATACCGATGACACTTTCGTGGCGAATACTAAGACAAAAATAACCTTTCGTCAATATAAATTATATGGAAGTATCAGAAGCATTTAACATAAATGAAGAGCTTGAGTGGCATAATGTGATAGATGTTTTAATAACGGAGGAAATAAAAGGGTGTTGTTAAGGGTAATGAAAAGTAATGGAGAGGTACAGAAGAATGAGGAAGACAGTGATGGGGCAGCTAGCTAGATTTCACAGCTGGAATTCTGGCAGGAGCTGACTCTGACTCACCAGCTGTTGCGCCAAATCTGATAAGGATAGTTTCAGGGGAAAATATGCCACTTGAGACCTAATTTTTATTTTTATTTTTATTTTTTAATGAAATTCATCTGAAAATAATATAATTATGAATAGTGTTTTTTTTTGGGCCAAGTAAATTAGGAATAGTTAATCATTATAAAAGAGAGAAGTTGTGAAATTGCAAATTACGAGGGAAAAAAATTGGAAAACGAAAGCTTTCAGATTACCTTCATTGGAGATCTTCCAATCGTCCTCCGTCTCTATTATTAATTTTCATCTCCAGAAAAAAGTATTACTTCCAAGTATCTTATCATAAGAAATAAATATAATATTGAAATTGGTTGAATTTGTTCCGATTTAATTAAATTAGACTTATGATATAGAGAATACAGAATTAGAAATAAGAAACTACTTGTTTTTCTAACTCGGATTATTCTTAAATTATTTTGAACATAAGAATAATCTCTATCAGGTATCGGGTAGAAGCAGTTAAAACCCTCCTAATCACTAATGCTGCTATTATTTTTAAAATAAGATAATTCTGAGTAAATTTTGCAGTTGATGTTACTTTTAATTACTGTGTTCTCCTGAAGGCTGCAACTTTTTATAAATTATTATTCCACTCGGAAGAAGACAAAAACCATGTCAAATTTGGCGGACTGGATTTATGGCTTGGGGGATCCACTCAAGAAAAATCCCCAAATTGGCCAAATCAATTTCAAATGCGATGCTTCATTTCTTAGCATCATCCAAAGTATCCATCCTTTGTAAAATTAAATTTTAATTAAAGCTGATACAGCCTGTTATCAGCTAATTAAATCTTAATTCATTCCAGACTATCCCTCGTTATTAACCAGTAACTTTATTTCACTCTACAATGCAAACTTTATCTTGATGAAATAAAACTTTCTAAACACTTGGTTCAGTGGGAGAGAGGCCATTTTGAAATTAGGTCGGCTTAAACATCATTAGACACCAATCATTAAGGGTGAAAATAGACCAGGCTTTGCTTTTAACAAGTCAGAACTGTTTTGTAGCCTATCGATATGAGCGTGACCTGTGACCTGTTACAAGTTTATTATTTAGCCTAAGTCTAACCTGGCTTAAAACCTGTTAAAAAATCTATGTTTTTAAAATTCAAATTACATGGTGATGCTTATAAAAAGAAGAAGCAAAGATTTAAAAAAGGATACATAATAATTAATTTTTTAGTCTTGTCTTTTATTTAAATTTTAGTGTGATAAGTACTATTTTAAATCTCAATTACAATTTACAAGGATCTTATTCAAAACTGGTTGTAATTTTTTGTTAAAATTTAGAATAAGACTACATTTAAGTACAAAATGAAAATTAAAATCAAAACAAATAAATAAAGAGAAAAAACTATTAATTTTACAATGAATAAATAGGGTATCATAATTTAATTAACATAATACATAAGTTAACTAATTTATCATTCTAGGAACAAAATTTTTCTTTCCTATTTTATTTATATTTTTAAAATTTAAAGATCACATTATTTATTGATATTGTTATTTTAAATTATATTTTCATCTTCACTTGTCAACTAAACTTCAAAATCCAAGGAAACACTAAGCCATTAACTATATATTAAAATTAAAAAATAAATTAAAAGAGCACATTAACTATAGTACTATTAATTAATTTTCTCATAAATTAATATTATAAATTTATAACAGACTCAGCCCAACCTAACAAGTTTAGTAGGCTTTTTAGAGAGCCTAATCCTAACCTATTAAATTAAACAAGTCTGAACCTATTTCTTTTAAAAATAGACCAGGTCATAAGCCTATGATAAACCGCCTTACTTGTTTTCACCCTTACCAATCACACTGTAGGTTTCATCGTTTGGGTCATATCTGGAAATCAAGCCCCAAGAATTTAATTGGACAAAACTTTTTATTTTTCTTCTTCTTTTTTAATAAAGTGCTACTTCTTTCGGCCTTCATTTTTTAATCACACCCGCGCATCTACATTACAAAAACTAAAACATCAATACTATAATAATCCTTCAAAAATCATTTTTAGGTGTAATGAATTCCTAGAAGAAATTAAGCGTCAAATCTAATGAATGTTTAGCATATATAACAAATAAATGTTATTTCTATCCGCTTTTGTTGTCTTTCATTTTTTTTTTTCAGTTTCCATAGCGTCGTTTGTTTCCTTTGGTGTCTCTCCCTCTCATCCTAAATACAAAAAGTATTTTGGAGATTTGCTTCTTAATAATAAATGCAAGACTACACTCTACTACTCCAATGCTAGATATAAGTTCCTTGTAGGGAAAGTTTTGATCATAAATACAAGTTACTTGTAATAGATTTAATTTAATTTTTATTGAAAAGAGAGAAAGAAGGAGAAAATATAAGAATGATGTGTAAATGTATAAAAAGAATAAGGATAAAATTAGAAAATTTTGTTTATTTAATGCATTCCTTCATATATAAAGGTATTCCTCCGGTCTTAAATATGACCCTTATATTAGTATGTATATGGGTTTTATATTTAGGACCAGAAGAATATGTTACAAGTGATTTATAATAAAGACTAGAGTAATATTCTATTTTTCAAATTTATAATTTTTATCTCCCAAGCTATTCTTATTAATTGTACATGTGAAAGGTGTTTTCATTAATTTATGGAGTAGCTCAAATATAAATTATTAAAGAAGGTATTTAAGGAAAACTAACAAACATTTTGTATAAATAACTAATCAAACTAATTTTTTTTTTAAATCTGTATAGCTATATAATTCTTGCGTTCAGAACTGGACAAGGTATAAACTCATTCCATGTACTTAATTGATGGGAATTTATCCTTTGCCCTCATATTAGTACTCTAAAACAAGAGCAGATGATTTTGTTATTAGTGGAGTATACTCCTTATTCCTCACTCAAAAAACAAAAGAAATTAAACCTGCATAAATATATCCTATCTTATCTTGGATGATGCATGCTGTTTGCTGCCATAAGAATCCAACATATATATATGTACAACAGATCATGGTTAAAAACTTAGAAAAATATACGGACATGAACATTCCAACCACCTTCCAGGTAAGTGCTTGGGAACTTGTATTATACAACAGACAAACGAACTCAATATACTAAATTCAATCATGTCTGATGGTAAGGACGCTGCCTTTTGTTTTGTCTTCACTCTGCTATTTCTACTGTTCTCCTCAGACCTCATCACCGTCTAATACTATTATTGTTGTTGTTTCATGAATCCCTGCTTCATCATACAACCTAACAGCTTGTTCTTCTCTACCTACCAATTTTATATGACAATGTATGTTTTTGTCTGTTTTCTGTGACATAGACAAGACTGTACCATATATGTATGCCATTCTTGTATTGTTTTCTTCTTCTCTTTCTCTTCCCTTAGATCCAATGTAATTTTAATCGTGGATTTTGTTCTCTGCTATACTCCCCTGGTTGCCATGCTTTGACCAAATTATTAATCATCTTCTTGTTGCTTTGCCAACCCATTTGGATGTGTTCAATGGATCTTAATATACCGTCCGTATGATAAAAAAATATTTATGCAGATTTGGTCTGAAAGAATAATAGATAGGCCAACTTAATTTAATAATAATATATATATAAACATTGTGAATAAAACCTACTTTGAATATTATTTATATTTATCATTAACATAATGTGTGGCCGCACGTTGGGCTTTGAAACCTAGAAATTCTATCATTCCATGGCTGAAACTGGCTATGATGGTTTTATGAAAACAGAGGAAGGGACATGAAGATATTTGGATCACATGTGAATCCACCTCAATGGTCACATTAGATAGTGAATGAGAATGGTTGATTACTCTTCGGACACTAATATATGTCACTCTTTGCACCAATAATAAAATATCATAATACTTTCCCTGATTCTTAATATAAGAGATGGTTTAATATTCAATTTGGTTTTAAATATAAGATTTCAATCCACTTTATCTTTCATATTTATTTATTTTTTATAAAGTAGTTTTTGTAATAATTGTACATGTTAATAGTTCTACCAAATGGTAGTTCTAACTAATAAACATGATTAGTAAAAGTATTTTAAGAATGATAACACCTATTTATTATAAATAACTAACTTAACAAATTTTTTTAATATACTTGAATTAGTTAACATACTTGAACTAGTTAACAAGTTTTTATATTAAGAACGAAAGTAGTAATAATTTAAAACAAAAAACAAAAGATAAACACGATGCTGGAGATTCATGTTTAACTATCTCCTATTTA